TTTTTCCTCCCAATGTGCTGGGTTTGTTTATTTTCTTTTATTTTAGATGCCTAAAAATAGGCCTGTCACATCTTGAGGCCCGTGCACAACATCAGAAACGTAATTCCAGGGCATGAGCTGAAAAATGTCAACTAAACCCTGATGGACTCAACCCCACAATCAGACAGAATGGACCACATGACTCTCTTCCTCAGCAAAGGACAGTGTAAAAGCGGAGGCTTTTTGTCTGGTCATGGGGGTCAACACATGTGGTGGGGCAGAACCCCCCGCTGGGCCACCTGGTGATCTCAGAATAAGCCAGCATTGTGTTCTTGCCTTGGTTACACGAGCAGTGAGTTGGGACGACTTGGCGCTTTTCTTGTCTTTGTTACAAGAGCAGTGAGTCGGGAGGATCAGGCACTCCCTAACCCTACCTGGAACTGCTGCTGCCAGTCTGGTAGATGCCAGAACTGTACAGTCTGGAAAGTACTGGAATTGTACAGTTGCTGCTAAGACACCAGAATCACCTAACACAGATTGTGTCCAGAATAGAAAGAAAATGACCAAAGTCAATCATCTCATGACCTTATCAGCAGGGGTCCGAAGTGAGGCTCTTGGAGCTCTCCTGGATGGCAGTGGGCTGCGAGAAGCATCTCCCTCTGAGTGGGATGCCTCTCGGAGCTCGCAAACTCTCATGTTTGTGAAGTTTGGAGGATCGTCGCCAAAAACTGACAACGGGACCTGGGCTGAAACCCTTCACTCCTTGAGGCTCCACCCTCGCCTGCTGAGCAATGCCTAGACATTTGAAGTGAATATTTCACTGAACTCGAGAGGAGTTTTTAACAGGTACAGCTTTATATTTTTATATATCTTTGTGTCTGTGTGTGTGCATATGTGAATTAAGTACCTGGTAGCAAGTATGGTATAAATATTGCCACCTCAAATCTATAATTAAGTACTGTTGTGATTGAAGTAAATTCTATTAGCTCACTTGGTTAATGTTAAATTAATCATTGATTAAGCGCTGCTAAAAATGTTGTGATTCACCTTAAACTGTGAATGAACCCTGTCTAAATCATTCTAACTTGATTCTAACTCGATTTTCCCCTAGATGTTCCACCTATGTAGTAAGTAACAGAGTGAACCTTGCCACTGAACTTTGTTAAGTCACAGTTTTAGAAATTCTTATTAAACCCACTTGTGCTAATACCTTGGACAATGTTTCTTTAAGCAGCCTAAACCACTCATTTGCGACAACGTGCTTGTGCGTGTAGGACAAACTGTAGGAAACATTGCAAAGTTGTTGTATGGAGCCTGGCATTGATCCCTCTCTTCCCCTTTCTGTTCCCAGCAACCCTCATCATTCAAATGGGAACCGAGGCCAAATGTGCATCATCCACCTATACAGTGACAGAAAAGTGAGATTTTTCTCACTACTCGCATTACTGCTCTGCAACATTTTTGGAAGAGACAGGACCCTGCTTTTGGTCTCAGATAAACCTTCCAAATGTCGTAAAAGAGGTGAAAGCTAAGACCATGCCTGTTACACTGGTACCTTTTTGATAAGAAAAGAGTTAAATCCATCACTGCATAGTCATGGAAATAAAAGTCTGAGTCATTACAGACCTCAACTGGATTTGAACTACCAATCAGTACCCTGAAGACTAATAGGATATTTATTCCAAGGAAAAAACAACAAGAAAAGACTTTATTAGGTAACGAGGAAGATAGTTACCACTTGCTATAAACATTCTGTCTCACCCCGTTATATTTGTGCCGTGACGATGGGGAATTCCTAAAAACTTATCTAAAAGTTTTCCATGGGGGGCATATTGGAAAGTCCCGTCTCCTTGTCATGTTCACGTAACTTGCAGTTCCCTGCTTCAGACTTAAAGCAATGCAGGAAAATTTCCATTCTGGGAGCATCAGTGATCAGAGAGGGCACTTTGAGATGAAACTGCTTGGAAGACCCAAATGCGGACTCCAAAATGGTATCAGCATCTAACTTCTTCCTGCAGGTGCTAAGATGGCCAGCCTTACTCCTCTGTCTGTCCTGCTCCTGCAGTTCTTGCTGGCTAGAGCTGGTCATAAACAAGTCTGGGTATTTATTACAAACTTTGATCTGGGGCTGAGACAAGCCAATGGTAATATTTTTCAAGATTTTTCTGAGGTTTCTAGGTGAACTTGACAAAATTTAAAGAACAGGTGAAGGGGGGTCCCAGTGCAAAATATCAAAACACTGTGCTGTTCTCCCCAGCAGCTGACTCGGCCCAAGGTGTTTCCAAAGTGCAGTCTTTCAAGCTCAGTGAATCAAGACTTTATGATAATCTTATATTTCCTTCTGAGACTGATGAAAAACTCTACATGCTTTCCCCTTCCCTTCTGCCTCGTTCCAAGGTCTTTGTCATTCCATGTTGTCTTTTTGCTGGACCAAGTTGTTGAAGAAATCATCTCTCATCTCTCTACCTCTGTTCCCTTTCTTTTCAGCTAATTTCCTCACAACAAAGCACCACCCAGAAAAAGAAGGAAAATAAGACAAGAGAAGACAAGTGCAGGTTGCACTTGTGCAAGGGATGGATAATCTTAGTATTCATCTGGGGCATCTGGCTACCACAAGTGTACATCTAATAAAAGATGCTAGAAACAGCACAGATACTGTCTAAAATGGTGAATGCTAATGTTTCCTTTAATGTAGTTTTACTGTGTTTTGATCAGGACAGAGATGTGGTACTATTGATCTGCTGTTATTAATCTATTGGTATTCATCTACATTTAATGTAGTTTTACTGTTTTTTGATCAGAACAGAGATGTGGTACTATTGATCCGCTGTTATTAATCTATTGGTATTCATCTACTCTGCCTTACAAGAAATCTAGGTGTTACTGCACTGTTGGCTGTTTGTGACACATGAGAGCCTGTGACAGATGGAACATCCTACTCCGGGTGAGGAAATAACACCTTGATATTGCTAGATGTTGATAAAGAAGCACTGCTGATGGTTTTTTTACCCCAAGAAAATTCCGAAGAATTCCCATGTGGGTTCTTAAGGTTGTTTGGATGATGGTTTTAACCTAAAGAGACAAACTATGAAACAGACTGGAAGCTGAGTTTGGTGTCTTTTTGGTACCGCGTATCTACTTTGCAGTGTTGGCATGCAGTAGAGCTGGATTGTCACTTACCACCCAGGGCTTGCTGCAGAAGTTGTAGATGGAGTAGAGGGAGTTGACCGTGTGGATGCCACCATACTGGAGGCCAATGATGAGGCTGCGGAAGTCCTCTCCTAGTGCCATGCTGTAGGCATGCTGTCGGATCAGGACAAAGTCAGGCTTGAAGGACCTGGAAGAGACGAGGGGAGTGCCGTTTAACTTTCAAACACTCAGGAACACTTCTAGCCTCCCCTCTGTTTCTTCTCCATCCTTCCCCTTTCCATTAATGCACATTGCTCTTCTTTGTGCCTCTTGTCATGGGTTGCTTGCGTTAGAAAGTAACAAACCCAACAAAAACTCTACGTGTGAAAAAAAGGAAAAATCCAACATAGCTGCAAGTGTGAGAATGTAGAAACAGGCCAAAGAGATTTGCTGCAGTTTCCATGTCACTCAGGCATGCGCAGGGACAAGCTACAAGCGGAGCCAAGGGTCATAAATTCACTGGTGAGGGGATTCTCTTTTCTTTCTATAAGTTTGGCTGTATTTGGCAAGCTCATTGCAATGTGCGACACAGATGAGGGAGCAAGTTTGTTTCCTGATGATTGAACTCGATATTGAAGCAATGCCCAGTGGGTGGGAAGATCATGAGGGATTTGAAAAAGCTATCGTACACATCCATACGTTGACATACATTCCCCCTTCAATCAGTTTACTACATACGCAGCACATCCCAGGCTCTTACAGCTATGAGTCAATGGGTAAAGGGCAGGCATGGTAATGTAATTAATCAAATGAGCAGAGCCCGTCATCCAGTGCTGTGACTCATGGCATGGAGTTCCAGAATATTTAGCAAGACCAGAGCAGGGACTCCTGTGGTTCAACAGCAGCAGCTCTCAGCAAATGCACAGAAAAGTGAGGCCCTTTCTAGGTAAGCCAACAGGCGACGGATTATCTTTCAAACAGCCAGATCTCATTCCTTGCTGACTCTGTGTCTTCGGAGCCACTCAGAAATCTCTGGAAACAGCAGCTGGAAAGAAACGATTCCCAAAATGGAGATCAGCAGTTCATTCTCAAAGGCATGGAAGGGGCTTTTCCACTGAAAGAGGGGATTGTTTTGTATTTTATCAGAGGTTGCATCAAGGACATTGGAGAAATTTCCATGCTGTATTACAGTTTTTCAGAGAAATGAGCTCTGTAACCAGGTCCCATTACCTCACTACCCTCGAACATTTTCCTTGCTAAGAGACTATAATTTCTATCCTTTGGATGCATGAGCTGGAAATACTTTGGGTTTATAGATCCTATTTATATTGCCATCATTCTGGCAAGGAAATCTGAGATGGTGACTCTGGGCCAGATTGTGGCAACAAACACTGTGTACAAAACCCAGCACAGCTTTGTCGTTTTAAAACTGTTTGTTTGTTGGCCTTGGGCCTTTGTTATCGCCCGAGACATGGTGAGGAGCATGCTCTGCTTTTGTGATGCAAGAGGCCAAGCTTTGGAAACATTGTGATTCTCTCCCATGGAGTATTTTTAAATCCAGGCATGTGCCCTAACGTACTTGGCACCAAAGGTGGTGCTTTCCTCCAGCAGTGAGATGCATAATGACCATTGAGAGGGCTGCGCTATCACTGTGCAACTGATGTATGGACCTCCCTCGTGTCAATGGGGAGGATGCAAGCCATGACCCCCTGCTGAGAAAGAAGCAAGTGAATACAAATCTTGGAAAGCTTGAGCTGCTCCGTTCTGCTGGACTTGCTGTATAGAAAGCACCCCAGAGGCAGGCACAGGTCCTCAAGATGGATTCATCAGCTTCCTAGGAGCAGGACTTGATGTCTGTGCTGAATTACTAAACAGTTGTGGTGCCTGGAGGGGCAGGAGCTTCAGGCGTGTCTCTCCTTCATTCACCTTTCCGAGCACAAGAGGAAGAAAATGATCCCTGCTACAGCTCAAGTCTTTCCCCAGACTTGACTTAGGGAGTAGCACTTACTGGAGCTGCACAGTAATGATTCGGACCATTGCTCCGGTCTCCCCAGAGGAAGCAGCAGTATTTGCCCTTGAACATCTCTCCTAACACCCTGGGGTGGGGACATGGTGCTGTGATGGGGAGGAAGCATGCAAGAAGTGTGGCCAGCCGGTGGGGAGGACACACAGTGGCTGGGAAGCTGCCTTCAGTGGCTTGACTTCTGCCAGCCAACAGTTTAGGATAAAAAGCTCTTGTCTCTACAGATGCTGGCAAAGGGAAAGTTTTTCAACATAGAAGATGGGCACAAGAATACAGAATTAACGTAGAAAAGGCTATTCTCAAACTTTGCATCGTGTAGGAAGGCAGGGCACTCTCTCATGCTGCAGATGAGGAGTGAATTTCTAAAATGAAGGTGGACATCAAATCCCTGCTTTGAGCCGCTGGACAATGAGGATGTTCCCATGGATACTGAGAACAAGGCAGAGGAGTGCAGGGCCTGGGACTAGCTGCCAATAAACATCAGCTGGAGAGCCCTGGAGGAGTCAGCGAGATGTCTGTAACGGAGGAATAGAGACCAGTGGCAAAATGTGAGGCAAGGGGCTAGGAAGGATAGCAGGCAGTAAAAAGAAAATGAGTAGTCATGGTAGGAGCGGTGACATGAAAACTGAATAACAGGGGCTACCAGCGATCTGGGGAGAAAGGAGCTTAATTGCTTCACACAAGGATTCTTGCTTTTTTTGGTAGAAGTTTACTTTTGCAAGCTACAGCTCTTTCTCAGAGTGTAAATCTAACTCTAACGTAGCAAGCCCCACATTTGGAATAGCTGGTCACGTAACTGTTTTCTTTGCTAGTTGAACCCAAACCAGTAACATCTCCCACGACAGAAAATTGAAATCCGTGGCAGACAGACAGGTTAGGCAGAAGTCCCATATTTAACAAACTGCTGCCAAAACGTTTGGGTGAGCCAAACTCAGCAGCACCTACCATGCTGAGGTCCTAAGCATCCGAGGCCGGCAGGACTAGGAGAGCAATGGCAGGAGCACGTACCTTTCCTCTCCACTAGATCTGTCTAGCCAGCACTTAGATGACCACAAATGGTCTTGAATACAACTGCATCTAGACCCCTGCTAAGGACAGGTTACGGGAATGGATTACAGGAGAGCCATTCAAACATCTAATGGACAAGGAGATGGTATAAGTAAATTGAACTAAATGTAAACCACAGATTTAAAACTTATTGCTAATAAGCTATGCTCTGCATGTTGGTGTGGTGTGCCCTTCCTGGGGTGTGTGGCAGACACTCACCTGAAGTTGCAAATTTTACTTAGCTTGATAGCCAGATGGATGAAGCTTCCAGCAGAAAGCTGGAGCCCATCTTTGGCCACAACCCTTTTACGGAAGCACTTTCTCAGACTCCAGGAACTCGGCTCTCATTTAGAGTTTGGCTCTTTGCACTGCCTGGCAAAATAAAGGCCACTGAAATGCATGTAACATGTTCCCAGAGTGGTGTAGGGATACAAGAAAGCTTTGTTTTAAAAAACAAGAAAAAAAAAAAGACGTCTGGAAAATTTGTATTTTCAGATTGAAATAGATGATTTTCCTCTGGAATGGATAGGTGCTTTCCTTTCAGCTTGTGTCGCCACAGGCAATGGTTTCTGCCACACACGGCCCAATCCTTTCAGTGCTCCGAGTGCTGCACAACCGAACCAGCCACACCCAGAGCGAAGCAGCCCCCACAGGTCCCTGTGGCTTTTCTCACTTTGCAGTAGTTGCCTCCTTGTCCCAGATGCTAGCCAAGGCACATGGCAGCCACTCAGCCTGCCTCTCCTCCTGGCAATTGAGACTGACCAGCCATTACCAGAGTCTGTCACCCCCAGGTGACGACGAGTGTCTGGCTAACAAGCTGCTAGTGCTGCCAGTCCTGAGCCTGGACTCCGATACTGTGGTGCGGATGCTTATTTGCATTTAACTAACTCTTTTTCAACTTGTTCCAATGCATTTTAGCAGTCTCTTTCTTGCTTAGTGGTAAAACTGTACTTTAGAGACAAACCTAAGTATAAAGCCTGGATCCAAAATACTGAATAGGAAGAGATCTGACTGTAGAATATAATTTCTTAGGTTGGACCCGTTTGCCCTTAAATCTGTGATGGCATTAGCTGTCTTGGAAATAGTTTTGTCAGAAATGAGGGAATACAAAACAATTTAAGAGATTCTTGATGCTAGATACAGAAGTTACAGATCTCAGGAGCAGCAGTAGCTATTCTGGTGATCATGTGTCTAACTTCTTGAATTACAAGAAGAGAATCAGCTCTGAAAAGATAATCAATTATGCTTCTCTGCAGAAAGCAGGTCCCCAGCCCACTTTGGGGTAGAGCAGATGACGACAGCAGATCCTGCTGCCTTAAAGAGATTTTGTATTTCTTATTTCTGTATATAACCATAACTCTGGCTTGCTTCCTGGTCCTTTAGCTTTTCTCACAGAAGCACAAAGAGCTTCATGGGCATGAAGAAAGAACATACAAGAACACATTAGGCTGTCAAAAGTCCCTTTTAATGATCCCTTCCACTGTGAATAATCATGGACAGCCAAAGGGTAGACCTGCTTTATACTTTAGCACCATGATGGATGTAGAGAGCTTTATGCCCTTGTTGTGGAACAAGGATGGGGTCTCCTGCTTGCTTTCTTAAAGAGTGCCAGTCTTACAAGGCACTTTGCCCTTCATGTCAATAGAAAAAGATCTTCCCTAGACACTGAAGACGCACATCCTTACTTCAGGTTCTGCCTACCCTCCATTATTCAAGGAGGCTTTATTCAGTTTTCTGACACTTCCCAGTGATCAACACATTTTGACTAAGTTCTCTTCCAAAGCCTTTTCTATCTGCTTGGCATGACACAGAGAGGAAGGAAAGTGCATAATTAAGCAATATGATACAACAAGCTTTGCATTACTGGCATTTAATGGAGCCTTCAGACAAGATTCTGAGGCACAAGTCCAAGCCATAAGTGGCTGCAACTACCTGAGAAGTCCAACAATCCCTCCAACTATGCAGTGCCTCAGGTGTTTGAGAGCTAATAGAAAATGGCATTTACAAATATGAACAAGTTCTTTTTGTGCTTTACTTGGGTGTTAAAAGTACTGTTACTACATTCATGAAAAGTAAGAAGAAATCTATGACTTTTTCACCTATCATGACGTTAGATTTAATGTTCTGTTGGATTTCATAATAAAATGGCAAATTTGCTAAGAAAAAAACCTCATTTCAGTCAAAAGCTCTTGACATATTTTCCACAGAAAGAAGTAAACCCTGCTGAAGTTATTCAAAGAAAGAATGAATGTGATGACTTACACGAATAAAGTAATACAGAGCTGGATTTAGAGTAACAAGAAAGCAACATAGAACAAAGAATGACCTTGCTTTACCAGGCTGGAGGAGAGGAGCAGGGGGTCTTTTGAGACACTGTAATAGAGAATGGCAGGTGAAAAAACACGAGGTGTGAGGGAGATCAGTGTAGCAAAAGCAGGAGGATCCTGGAATCATGGTTGCAGTAGGACCAGTAGCACTATATGCAGATGAGGATACCCTCAAAGATGCTCAGATTTGCTTCTCAGCAATAGACCAATGGTCAATGAGCCATGAAATCACTTGTCACACGTTCTCCAAACTGTACTGCTGCAATCCCCTGTCTGCCATACGTAAAAATCATGACAAGGAAAAGCATGTGGACCCAGATGATGGCTCAAAGAAATAACAACCACACCAGCCAACAGCAGCTTGCCTTCAAAATGCTTGTGAAACAAAGCTTTTACAGAAGGTGACATGAATACTTTCTAACATCACAGAATAAAGCCATAGAGTAATTTAGGTCAGAGAGGATCCCTGGAGATCATCTGGCCAAACACCCTGCTCACTGCAGAGCTAACTTTAAAGTGACATTAGGTTGATCAGGGTCTTGTCCAGCCAAAGTTTGAATATTCCCAAGGATGAAGATCCCCTAGCCTCTCTGGGCACTTGTGCCAGTATTTGACCACCCTCACTGTGGAATTTTTTTAAAAATTTGCATCTAGTTAGAATTTCACCTGCTGCAACTTGTGTCTGTTATTTCTTTTCCTTTCACTGCACACCTTTCACAACACTCTGGCTTCTTTTTCTCAGCACCTCCCTCCGAATTGCCTGATGACTGTAGGTTGATCCCCCTCAGCTTCCTCTCACAGACTGAACAAAGCCATCGCTCAGTCTCTCCTTGGATGTCTTTGGTCCAGTTCAATGAGCTTGGTGGCCTTTCACTTGACTCGTTCCATTTTGTCAATGCCTTTTTTGTAGTGGGGAGCTCACAGCTGGACACAGTACTCCAGATGTGAATAGCATCTCGTTAGCTACATGCTTGCTAATACCACCCAGTGAACCATTAGGCTTCTTCCCCACGAAGGCATACAGGACCTCCAGGTCCTTTTGTGCAGAGCTGTTGTCTCTCTGGCTGTCCCCGCAGCAGTACTGGGGTTAGTCCTTCCTCATCGCAAGACTTTATGATTGTCCTTATTGAACTCCATGTGGTTCCTGTTGGCCCATTTCCCCAGCTGAGGTCCCTCTGCCCTCTGGCATATCTATTGCTCCCCACCCTCCAACTTGTTGCCATCCATGGGCTTGTTAAGGCTGCACTCTGTCCCAGTGTCAGGTCGATAATGAAGATCCACCTTGACCAGTATAGAACAGGTGCACCAGGGCTTGGCCCTTCACTTCTCCGTTTGCCATTCCCTGGAAGAAGCCTTAGTAAAAACCCATGTAGAAAGATGACAAATTAAGGCAGCACTGGAAAAAGAAAAGCTGATCAAGACTGAAACAATCTACAACAGTCTTTAATCATTCTTGCATTCAGTCCAGGATTAACTAATTAAGAAGTGCTCTGGGGCCTGGCAGCACATTTCTTATTGGAAAGAATGACTGTAAATGCAAAAAGGGACAGGGAGTAGTTTAGTCTCTGAGATGCTCCCCACCCTGGTCTGCTCAGAGTGACTTTTGCTTTTTGGCAGCTGCCTGCACGCCAAATGTTTTCCCAATAACTGTCAGCATCCTGCCTGAAGTCGTCTAGGCACCAGCTGCTGGGGAGGTGAAGGGGGACATTATTCATCTGGGAGATCAGTAAACCCCAAAGGGAGACGCAGGCCTCCAAGCAGCTGTTTAGCAGCAGGAACTGGGGTGGAAGCAAGTGAGAATAAATACATAAATAAGCACACCCCAACTTCTCTTCTCTTTTTTAGCTCCTGCTCAAAAAAAAGATGGGGACAGGCAGGTGAAGATATTAGTGAAAGATGATGGTAAATCATCCCCCCATGTGGGATTAATTTCTTGGTTCATCAGTGTTTACTGGAGGTGTTTAATTGATTCATATGTAACTGCAGCTTGCCAGGGTCTATCCTGTTGGACACCTTCTTTCGGTAAATATGGCACATTGATGTTTTGCCTAAAGTGCACTTTCAAAAGCTTACACGCTGTTTCACACACTTCTCCATTACATTTACAGATTGCCATGCCATCAATACAAAAATATTGCCCAAATGTTGCTCAGTGTTAAATATATAGCACATATTGTACTATACCATGTGGCACATTCTGTGAATCTTGGGAGAACCAGGCGCTCAACAAATTTTTCCATCTGGCTTCTAGAAACCTAAACTCTCCCAACCCGTTTCTCCTATTTTTTCCTCCCATCTGCATCTTCACAGAAATTTTCAGAATTTTGGTTTAGAAGCAACAAAAAAAACCAAAAAAAGACATCCTAAAAAAAGATCCCAATTAGATCAAGAGTTAAATTTAAAAAGACAGAGACTAGACAGAGCATAGGGTTCCTCTTTGACACAAGATTCCTGGAAGACTAGAAGCTGGAAAGTGACCTGCTTCCTACCAATACATCCTACATCGGTGTCCAGGGACAACAGCTACTCCCATGACCTCCCTCGATCCCCTGTAGCAGAACTGCAAGTAAACACCAACTCTTGTGAATGAATAGTCCTCAAGAGAGAAGAAAATATCCATCTCCTAGCAATGTGCAGCTACTGTGTGGTGAGAAAGCATGGCCTGTGTAGGTCAGAAAACCCACATACTTCTTTCAGGGAGCAGCTTGTCAGTGGCTGTGTGGGGTGGGTGAATCTACTGGGATGGGAAAAGGTGCTGTGGGCAGAGGATGGTGTCCTCACCAGACTTTAAAAAGTCTTGCATCCTAGAGCAGGCAGATCTGTTTTAGCCAAAGTACACGTCTCCTGGGGTCTGCAAGCTCCGAAAACTGGGAAAACGTATGCTGCTGGGCTGGCCAGTTTCTTTCCCACTCCTCCCATGTAAAAGAATTTGCTTCCTCATGCTGAGATTGTAGTGGAGCTTGCAGTGCAAAAATATGCTTTGGGAAAAAAGCACTTTCAGGTCCTGGTCTGCTTGGGATGGTGATTCAACAGGCTGCTGTCCTGTTACCAGAGCGCAGAGCATAGTAGAAGCACTGAATCAGCTGGAACCAACGGGAAAGTCAGCGTTAGCTAAAGGAATGAATGGGCTTGTATGGAGGAATCAGAGCATTCCCTGACCCCACCACAGCTGCGAGTGACAAGGGCATGTCATCCAGGGCGAGCAGGGGGAGACATGCACCTTCGTATACAGACCAGCCAAATTCAGGCAAGCCCTGTAGGATTAAACACCACTCCACGGCAGAGATCCTTCCCCTCAGCGAGGCTTCGCCCATGGCGCTCATCTCCTCTTTGTTTTACTCTGCCAGCTTTGCCACCCCTCCCCAGTTGCCAGGGCCATTGCTCCACACAGGGTCCTCCCAGTTTCAGACCCTGGGTATCTCCTGGTCCATCAACTGTTGTCTGTGTGGAGGTATTACAGTGAATCTGCACACCACACTGTAAGTGGTATGGCCACCACTGTGGTAGGTCCCATGCAGACACACAAAAATGTGCTTTCTCCCCTGGATGATCAGCCCCACTGGCAAAAGAGCCAGCTCCACAGGGAGACAGGAGATGAGAGCAGTCTGGTGCATGATTAATTTATAGCCTTAAAAGTCTGAAATGCTCCCAAGGACATTAGTATTCCCCATGTAAGAAAGCTGTCCAGATTTTCAACATATCCCTGCCTTATTCCCACATCTCCTGGAATTAATAGCTGAAGGCTTGTAAAGCCCAAAAGGCAAACACAGGACCACATTTAATCTAATGCAGAGGCTGAGATCATAGTTTGGGAGTCTAAGTTTTGTCAGAAGCAGAGACAGCCCAAATTCTCATTTACACGAAGACACTTTTATAATATCCTGAAAGCATAAATGCACCTCAGAGTGAGTGCGGTGCCAGCACTGACGGGCTCTTTGCACTGTGGAAACATTGGTATGAAGGGCCCTTCAGAGAAATGAAGACAAGTGGAAATGAAAATCCCATTCCCTACATCCAACCCCAGTAGAGGTGACACAGCCCAAGAGCTTTCTAAGGCAAATTGGACGCCAGACTGTTCACTCTGTCTGTGTGTGTGTGTAGACCTGTGCCAAATGAACCTGTGCATGCACTGGAGGGAGGATGAAGAATCCACTCGAGTGTTTTCAAAGCAAGCATCAGCCCACACTTGGTTTTTCACACTGCTTGGTAGTCCAGTGATCACACCCAGAAATCACTCCATTTCTCTGTTGAAGAGGTTGCTATGTCAAAGTTGGTGAGGGATCCTTTGGGCTAAGTGCCACCTCCTGCTTCCCATATTTCACTTTTCGTTGGAGAAGCTCTGGTGCTGATTTTACCCAAGGAAGAGCTGGGGTAACACGGACCAACGTGTGGGAGATTTCCCCCCACCAGCCCTGTCTGAGCCCAGTGCTGCTCCCAGTGCCCAGCTCATCCCCCTGCACTGTCCACAGCCAGGGCACGGGTTACAGGGAACTGGAATAGGAAAGTGCTTGCTAGACACTGCACGAGATACTCTGTGGCCAGATCTTTTGCTTCGAACTCTGAAGAAAATGTGCTGAATAGGCTGATGGAGCCATCACATACCATGGTGGAACAGGCACAGAAAACATTCATGCAGTTTATTAGATTTGTTAGATGATAGTCTCTCTCTCCAGTAGCACATCTCACTGAGACCTTCAAATCCCTTACCCAGTCCTACAGATGTGCAGAACTTAAGTAGCTAAAAAAGAGGAGGTGGAGACCCAGAACTTTGTTACTGTAAAATCAAATTCTAGGAGCCACACTTGTTTTAAAAATCAGACAAGCAAAGTAACGCCTGGCTTCAGTTAAGTTATTTGCTACCTTACTTGTAGCTGCTTGTTTCAAGATACACAGGCTAGTAGTCCTGGAGGTCTATATACTTCCAGTTCCTTGCTCGCTTTAATTGACAATAATGCTTCTAAAGCTCCTTTTTTTAAAAACAAAAATTTGCCTGAGGCAAGTGGTAAGTGTAGGGCCTCAAGCTGTTATACCTTCTTATCAGGGGAATTATCTTCCAGGTAAAAGACCACAATTATTTCCTGGTGCAGTTCAAATCACTTGGCACAGGGTCTAAAAGCATGCCTGAACTCCAAGGTGTCAGAAAGTGTCAAAGGATCAGCAAAGCAAGAGCTTTGATTTGAATGTGCAATAGGATGTCCCAAGTTTAAAGAAAGACCTAGGAGATCTGCTGCAAAATGACAGAATTTAATAGGCTAGTAATTGTTAGATTGTTTATCAGTTAACAGCCCAGCAGATGCTTTATTATTATTGATATTATTGTTGTTATAAAAGTTTATTATTTCATCGATTTAAAATGCCGTGGTCTGTAGTATATTCACTGTCTTTTGACTAAACTGCCACACTCTGTTGCCTTCACTTTGAAGAGGAGTGTGAAGAAGGCAGGGCTCCTGCAGTGGGGGAATCCCAAATGTGCCTGTTAGCAAGATGCCTCTTGTCAATAACTTGTCTGGGATTTCCAAGGACTTTGGGCATTCAAACCCCGTGATGAATATTATATCTCACCATCTAGAAACATTCTGATTAGTGATGATTATTTTGCTTAATAATTAACAGAGGCCTAATGAGTGATGAAAAAAGACATCAGCAGCAGCAGGGTTGGTGCACACACGTGAATTTAAGGCGTCCCATGGCTGGGCAACCTGAGGGGTGTCTGTGGCCAGGCAGGACACGGCTGTGGGTGGGATGGGGGGACTTGGAGGGAGTGGGAAACAAGCTGCACCCCTGTGGATGGGCGGAGGGGGCGTCCACACATCTCAGTAGCAGTATGCTCCATAATTCACCTTCTAAAGTGAAGAGGAGCTTTTATTTCTGTAACATCTGAAGTGTTGGAAGGAGCGGCTGTGGAAACTGGCTGGCCTGAGCTCTTAAACTTGCCGAGCTGGGCAGGATGGGGGCACATCAGCACAGGCTGTAAACAAATGGTTAGTGCTTGTACGGACTATAACAAACCATGGACAACACAGGCCATATAAATCGGGTATCCAGACAAGGATGTATTTGCCAAATCCACTTCCCACCACACAAATGCACGTGTCCTTAAACATGCATAGATGAAAACAAAGCAGTTGAACTAAAGCCTTTCATAAAAACATGAATTTTCATATAAAAATATCCATGCAAAAAGCCTAGCTGTGATACCTGTGTATTTACTGCAAGCAGAAACATGAACACCATGCCCCAGACATACTTGTGAAATAAATTTTGTCTTCGGTTTCAGTTTAATAGCTTGAGATCTTTCTGCCAGATGTATGAATGGCTTTGGGAGGAAAGGCATGGGAAGGAAAATGAAGATGTGATCAACCTAGGAAATGGTTCTTGGGAAAACTTCCAGCATCATCAGCAAGAGAACACAAGAGCGCATTAGCACGGCGCACTGTCTGATGGATGCCCCAGCGGCTGGTTCATGGGACACACGTTTTGTTTCACTGAGAAGCAGACATCTGTGGGACGAGAGAAAGCAAATGGATGTAACAGACTCAACCTTAAAAGTTTTTAGCAGAGGCTCGTGAAATTGTACCAAAGAATGAATGGAGACTTGTGGACATGCTAAGAGCTGTCAAAACCTGAAATGAATTAATGGACCACAGTCAGAGCTAATTGACAGTGGCAAGTGTTGTTTTGCACTGTTTGGACTGGAAATGACATCTTGAGAAATTAAACTGAGGCCAGCACAATCAGAATCACAGATTTTCAGCTGTTCTAATAATCCCTTTCAAAAATATCCCTGCATGCTGTATTATGTGTCTCTATCTCTATTTCTGAACTAGAAGTAAACAGGCAAAAGTGTTGATTAAATGTGTGATCTGTATTGAACTTGGAGATGCTGTGTACACCAACAAGCGCACAAGAAGTGTACAAAAAGAAGTAGGGAGGCTAGAAATATGGATTGGGAATAGCAATGAGATTTCAACGCGAACCAAGAAAAGTTATTGTGTCAAAGATGAATGGTGGAGTTAGAAATTGTAATGACAGAAACTCATAAAGATGTAGGCTTGGGAACAGAAGGGTGAAAGGCAATATCAGGGCTATGTAAACAGAGGCATTTTACCATTATAGACAGACGTGACAACCTACACCGCTTTCTATATAGCACCAGTAAGAATGTATCTAACATTAACTCCAAATTGCAGGCACTCTGGTGTCGGAAGGAAAGGGAGCAATGCTTTTGGCAAGTGAATTGGGTGCATGATTGGAGAAGCATTGCTCAGGAGAAGAGTCTGCTTGCAATGACTGCAATTACAAAGTAATGCTAGTAGGGACAGAAGTCCCCATCAAACAGAGGTATGGTCCTACCTCTGAGATACACCACAGGGCAAAGCTGGAGCATTGGGAGTCTCTGGCAAAAAAGGTGGTATTTCAGGAGCAAATCAGGCTGTGAGGATGAGGATCACGGAAAGGCTTTGTGGCTATTGCAAGTGTAGTCCTCTGGGATCAGGACCTAACACAGGTAGGCTAATGAATGCAAGGCACTCTTTACAATGAAGTACACAGAAAGAGAGAAAAATCAAGAGAAAGGAAGATCCATTGTCCCTTTTACTGGAAGGTCTGAGGCTAAAAAGAACCTGAAAAGGAGGCATTTGCGGTTGCATGGAGGGTCTAGACTGGAAACAATGATTGTATGGCATAATGTGCAACTGAGGACGGATACAAAACCATCAAAGTCAGGTCAATCTTTCCACTGCTTCCAGGAAACCTTGAAGTCACCAGGACTGCACTGCCCTAGTTCAGATACCAGTCAGACCCTCAGGTCATTCTGCTTGCCCCAGTACTGCTCCAGAAAGCCCGATTTTCATGCCAAGCTGGTGCTCCTCACCTTACCACCTTGGTGCCGTTCCTCATGACCTGCATGTCCACCATGCAGCCGCCCGTGACGTAAGCAGCCAGGTTCAGCTCGGAGAACTCAGCCTGGAGTGGAGCAAAAGGACAGAGTGTTACTCAAGGGCAGCAGAGACATAAACACACAGATACAAACACAGAATTGTCTTCGGCTGGAATGAGCCTTTCCTTCTTTTTCTTTTTTTTTTCTTCTTTTTTTTTTTTTTTTCTTTTTTTCCATTAGGCAATGGAGAGATCCAGTTACAGCTGATTTGCCCTGGAGAGACTGCAGAAGTATTTACAGCTCCCACACTTGGGGTGTACAAGTATACAGGATTAGGCTTATTGCAGTAATAAGTACTGAAGGAATTAAGAATGAGCAAGCTGAAAAATGCATACAGGAATGAATAATAATAATAATAAAAAGAGGTAAGGTCATTTGAATTCAAATTCCAAGTTTCCACTTGGAAACATCCATTTACAATTATGTCTAGGTTGGCTGTCGTGCCACTGGCCAGCTGTAAACTTAATACAAAAGATTTAAACCTTCCTAAATAGCCTCTTTCTGCTACAGGAAGGTGATAAGCACAGAAACCCACCTGATGCGGTTTACTTCTTAAGATTTTAACTGTTAAAAGTTTAGAAAAGCTGGCTAGGCTGTTAACAGTGCTGCTCAATTATTAAAACACTTTATATCTTAAAAGAGGTGCGACTTACAAGGCTGGAAAGGTTGGCAAGGAATATTTAAGCTACAGGGAGCAAAAGGCAATGTGCAGGGGCGTGATTACGGCCGCAGTGGGTGTCTGCGAAGGTTAAGACACAAATCAGAGTGATTAACTGAGCGAGAGGGGTGATAATCCTGCTGCGTGGCCGCTGGCTCCGCTGCCCTGCAGACAGGAGTGCCAGCAAGACTCAGTGGTCTCAGCAGGAGGAGGATGGCAGGATTAGCTGATCAGTGCTCGTCTTGGGCTCCAAATCATAACTCTGTCGTTTATGAGCAGTTGAGTAGACCTTAAACTAGAATAGCCTATTATTGTGCCAGGCAAGTCCTCCCTTTCCAACCAGATGAAAACATATCTGTACAGATTCAGAATCTTCTATTAAATTAGTGCCTGTGTGTACAAATATAAATACAAATAATCAGGTTTCATTTTTTGAGACAGAAAATTTAGTCTTCTTCCTTTGAACAGCTTTTTTCCCCCTTCTTGTTAAGGCATTTCTTTCAGACTTAGGATGGAGACTGGGCAGCAGTAAAATCATCTTCTAACCAGTGGCTACCTAATGTCAGAGCACTCAGATGGTGTTGCTAACGTTCATGATTTTATGGAGATCGTTATACTATTTAATGTTCTTCTGATACTTTTACTAGCTGTAACCAAAAGATAACGCCAGGAAAAACTCTGCAGAAAAAAAATTAAAAGCCCAAAATAAAAAAGCATGATTTGTGCTCATGAACACATGGAAAAAACTTGCCAATGGAGAACCAGTGCACCTGTAAAGGCTCAGAGGCCAGACAAACAAATGAAAAAATCACTTCCAACTTTCTTTTTTTAAAATCCACATAATTTTAAAGCAATAACCATGTACTGGTGACCCGATGATGTAATGAGATTTCATGTCTGCGGCCCTGTGTAAACTTTTCACAGCAACACCCTTACATGATCTTACATCATTGCAACTCCCAATTACAATGAAAGGAGGGGGAAAATTCCTGTTGCCAAGAAATAAATCCTGCTTCAGACACACACACACACAGAGCAAATGGCAGTGGCGCAGGTGACCGGCTGGGCTTTTCTTGTGAGATTGCACACTGTTGCCTTGGCCACAGCCATGCTTTTTCAGTGATCATACTGGATCAGAGAGAAGAAAATATGTACCTCTAAAAGGCACCTGCATTTTATACATTTAAAAATATCTTAATAGATGTAAGGAGTGAGGGGTACCCCTTGAACAAATTCAGCAAGAGCAGATGCTTTGGGTGCCACCAGAGAGCTCCCCAGTGGGTCAAGGCAAGCTTGCTACCTTACATATGGCCCCAAGAGGCTCTGTGGACTGGGAAGATGAAAGCATGGCTTTCCCACCTCTATGTCTGCGCGTGCCTCAGAGGTGTCCCACTCTGAGAGTGTTACTGAGATGGACCTTCAGCTTGTACAGCTGAGGGATGCATCGTCTGATGTGAACACCAGAGAAAGAGAGGGAAGTTTTAGGTCTGTGTTTTCATATTTTTAATGCTTTTTTTCCGTAATTTTTTTGTACTAAAGAGCTTAACACTTTGCTGGGGATGAAAATGGGCCATCTTCATTTGATAGCTGGAACTTACAATCTAAGTAAGTCGGTCTGACAGGCATTGCCTCGAGTCAGTCAGACCAAACAAAGCTGTGTTCAGACTTGTGATGTCCAAAGAGGCCTGGGAATCCCCTGAGCTGGTAAGTCCTTCATACCAAACTGCCAGGACCGATTTCAGGCCTGCTGATGTCAGGAGCCAGAAGAAAGGGAGAAATGCCTTTGGCAACCATTGTCCAGGACATCCTGGCAAGGAGGGAGGAGTGGAGAGAGAGTCTGGGGGACTTGGATACCTCAGCCCAAAGAATCCAGATATACAATCAGAGTTGAGGGACAATCCTAATCTTTTCCTGGTGTTCACTCCTGCTTTAAGGGACTAAGTTAAGGATGGTTGCTGCTTTCATGTAGCTGCTTTGTCCCATCCGACAGGCTGCTGCTAGCTGGCGTTTGGAAGAAGGCTGAAAACTTCAGTCAGCAGAAATTGTTTCCTGTTGATTTTCCAGTGCTCCCTGTATTTTTAACTTTGTGGGTTTTGTAGCCTGATGACTTCCCTTGGCTGGGATTTCAAGTCTGAGATCATCTCCAGCCTGAGTTTACCTTCCAGACAAAGAGGTCTTTGAAAGCAGCCCATGCAGACAGAGAGACAGGTAACTATGCATAAAACAGGAGAGCCCAGCTCCCCGTGGCCTTGCAGAGTCATTTGCATTAGGACTCATCGAATAGAAGGAGGCATTACATGAGCCTGATGGTGTTTTATACTTGCTTTGCACTGGTGCCAGTGGCTGGAAAAACATTCAGGGCAAGAGTGAACCACGTGTGACAAACGTGACACAATCCGTCTTGAAGAATAACACAATACAGACTGCAGGAGTAGAAACATTTTGTAGCTCTGTAAGGGCCTGATCTGAGAGGATGCCCCCAGATATTTTGAGAATAGTTCTGTTAAAAATGCCTGTTTCAGGTATTCAGATTCAGAAATCTCTCCAGATCATTTGGACTAAACCTTAAGTCGCTTAAGCGACTCTCAGTTTCTCCCATCAGTGTTCTCTGAGTGCTTTGGTGAGCCGTTTTAGAGTTTCTGTAGCCATACCTATTAATGAATCACAGGAAGCACGTGATCAAGGTGGATTTTAAGCATTTTTTTGTAGAATAACATGAAGTTGTGTTGGAAGGACTTTAAGACATCACACAGTCTGTCTCTCTTCCCTAAGGCAGGATCACCTCTACATCTGCCATTGTGTGCAGATACTACATAACCTGCTTGTATCTTCCACAGATGAGGAACCTCCTCAGGCAATCTGTGCCTTTACAACCTTGGAAAGTTTTCTCAATGTCAAACCTAAATCTCTCCCCTTACTTTTCAAGACGATAATTTCTTGGCCATGATGTCCTCCTGCAGAACCTGAAGACTTACCCTTTCTTCTTTCTTTTTTTTTTTTTTCTCCTAGGCAAAATCAACCCCATGCTTGCAAGATTTTTCTTGTAGGTGATGTTTTTCAACACAGTGATCAGCGTTGTTGCTGTCACTGAGATTCTCTCTGACAAGTCTGCAGCTTTCTTGAGTTGTAATGGCCTAAACTCAGCATGACCTTTCAGCAGAGACCTGACCTGTGTTGACAAAGATGCAAGGCAACTCGCCTTACATATAATATCACTGTCCATATATTCCAGTATGGATTTTTCATATGTGCGGCAATGTGACTATTTCTTAACTCATTCTGGCTGAGATCCGCTGTAATCCTTGCATTGCTCTGTCTAGTCTACTGACTCGTCTTCAGTTCCTTGTCTTGTGCATCTGCCATTGATGATTGATGCATAAGGAGGAGGTTTGTCAATGTCTATAAAAACCTGAGAGGAGGTAGCAAAGAAGATGGAGCTGTACTCTTGTCAGTGGTGCCCAAGCAAAGGACAAGGGGCAATGGGCACAAAATGAAATACGCTAAATTCCATGTAAACACAGGAAAGCTCCCTTCTTATTGCAGTGACGGTTGAACACTGGAACAGGTTTCCCAGAGAGGCTGTGGGGCCTCCATCCCTGGAGACACTAAAACTTTAATTGGCCATGGCCTTGGGCAGCCTGCTCTAAGTGGCCTTGTTCAGAGCAGGATATTGGACTACAAGGTATCCAGATGAGTCTTCAACCTCAACAGCCTCAACTGTCCTGTGATGTTTGGTATCTGGCACATGTCCTTATTAAACTTCTCCCTGCATGTCAAAAAGGAGCAGATGCCGAGGGTTAGTTCATCTTCTTTGGGGCACAGGAATGCAGGAACAGGGATGCAAGACAGGTTGTGGATTTGTGTTTTGGGGGCATGGTGACTGGTTTGTTTTTTTTTAAAGCAAGCAGGCTCGGTGTGTCCATGCACCAATAAGCACATTGGGCTTTTTTGAGTTACTGAACTTTCTAAGCCCCCATCTGTATATAACCTAACTAAAAGCTATTCAGGTTAGTTATTGCTTAAAAAGGAGACACAAAGTTACATTAGAATTCTGTATGGATATTTGCATATATGCCCCCTATTTGCATATACACTGCACATACACAAAAATAGCAGAAGGGTTTTAACACTGCTAGGGAACTTTGGCACTTTTCTCAGTGCAACACGCCACATGCTACATCACATACACCGGCTTTTTGGGGGGATATTCCATCACATAAATCACAGCACTGAGCTACCACTACAATACATAGCTTTCCATAAGGCAATGCAGACTATCCACATCAGGATCCTAAACATGAGCTCAGTAGTTACTCTGACCAGCCCCTCTTCCCGACATGGGCATGTAGGAAGGTGGGTTGACTTGTG